CGTGACTAGGACACGATGTCATGACTGAATATCTTTACGGGGGTTCAAGGGGCCGTTTGTCGACGTGGGTTACGGTGAAGAGCATGGCGAGTCCAGGCCTTTCCGTCTTCATCTCTCTGCGTGTGGCATGGACTGGGTGAAGGCCATGCACCAATTCCATGTCCTCTCGGCCCGAATATTTACTCTCTCTTGTGATATGTCACTATGGGGAGGTAAAGGCCAGGTTTTAAGTACTGCTCTGGAAGAACATTGAACATCGTGAGTTTGCCTATTCTTTACGAACAGGAATACCGTTAGGAAATCGCCTCCTGCCTAGCTCAACATCTATCGGTCGACTGCCTTTTTGGTACAAGGCAGCCAAGGATGGCGTCGAGGTATGCGATCTCGGGCATGCCCCTTAGCTCAAGTTTGACAGTAGGAGACAAACAGCCGCAAGTTGCGGCTATACAACAGCTGCCGCGGACGGCCGCGTTCTTTATTCGCAGTTTGGATCACCCGCAAGGTCAGGTATTCCACATGGTCAAACCAGAGAATATCTCATTCACACCTCCCGTGGTGCTCAGACGACCTCCATTGCCGGAGGCGCGGCAGATCTCTCTCCAGATGGTGGTCCCATGTATCTTCTTTGTCCAATACCCCTGCCGGCAGAAGTGTCGCAGTTTGGGGATCTGTGTCCACTACCAGTTCGTGATCGGCTGTCGAAAGTGTCCCGATGGACTGAGATGTAGCACTTGTGTACAGAGCAACGTGGAACAGGTATGAGAAGTTTTCGTCCTAGTGGGGCGAGTTGGGGAGATAGACAACATGGGCTAAGCAGCGTAACGTTTTATACAGGCTATTCAAGCAAACCGCAAATGTCCACTCCATCAAGAACCCACGCAGGCGAATCCCATCAACAACCGCCCGGAAGATTTCCTAGCCACTGATACCCAGAAAGAGGTTTGCGACCAGGTATTGCAGCGGTCGTTGGCCTGTCAGTGGGATGACATGCCCACGACTCTGACCACTAGGACCGACCAAGGGCACCGGGTCGTTCATCATGGCCACTTCCACCGCGAAAGCACGCCCAGAGACATGCGGGACGTCAGAATGTTGGCGACATTGGATGAAGACGAAGTGATGGCCGACGAGAGCCAAATCCAATTGTCCATGGCTACGGATCTTTCGGCGTGTTTTGGTGGCTCGAGCGGAGTGCAGGCCAATATGCCACGGGTTTTTAGATAAGGCGAGTGCGGTATGCACCACAAATTAGGCCTCAGATATCGGAGTGGAGAAAGTCCTTTGGTCATTCATCCTATCCAGAATGTCCTGGCCGGGCGGGCGGATGGACGGATGGATAGATAGATGGGAGGGACTGAAGCAGACTGGATCGGCCGTCGGTAGATTCTGTTCCTGAGCGATCAGGAGTTGTCTCTCTTCTCTACATGAGAATCTACATACATGGGCTTTTCAGACAGAAATCTGCACTCCAAGCCGCGCATGCTAACACACTCCTTCGCCAACGAACCACCACAAGATACTGTCCGAAAGCCTGGCCCTCGAACAGTAGCGTAGCTGATCAACTCACCACCTGCGTGGCGCGATGCACTTACCGAGCTGAGCTGACGAGCCGACAGAACCTGGGACGAATTCCTCGTATGCGGTCTGGAATGGGACGGACTGGAGAGTGAAAGATAACAGATCACAAGACGACAGACACCGAACGATGAAGGCGTGGACAACGACAATGACAACGATTTAGGACAACTCCAGAGTCCAGATCTCTGGCACGATCCTTTGAACTTCTATAGCCTAGCCAGGAATAGAGGGGGAGGGGATGTTGGGATATACACAACACCGCAACACACCCCACACAGGCACAGGCACAAGTTGACACACAGGCACGCACACACGGTGCGAAAAGGAGAGACTTACCTTGCTTGGCTTTATGTGTTCTTGTGTATCGCGTATCGCCCTGCCTGTCGCGGCTTCGTTCTGGAGGCTAGCTAGCTTCTTTCTAGCCAGCTGGGTCCTTGAGGTTCGTGCAGCCTTGTTTGTCAAAGATCAATGACGAAAGACCAAACAGTCAAGAGTCAACAGCAAACGGCCAACAGCCGACAGAAAACGGATGAATACCTCATACCTCGTACATGCCTATCGCGTTATCCTGAAACCATGGCACACGAAAGGAAAAAGAAGAAAGAAAAAAGGAGCTTCGCAAGCGAAGTCGTGGGCGAGAGATAGAGAGAGTAAAGACATAAGAAAGGCCAAGGCCAGAAAGGAACGGAGGAGAAGAGGCGAAGAGTATACATGTCTCGTCAGGCCTAAGACGTAGATAGATAGAAAAAAGGGGGAAAGGAAGTTGCCAGATATGCAAGTACTGAGAATTCCTTTTCCTCGCTTCCTCACTCCATACCTCCCTGCCTGAACCTGATCCGACCGACTGAGCGGAAGTTTGGATTGAGTTCATGATCCAGGAGTTGGGAACCTGCGAGTAGGTAAAGAAGAAGGAGGAGAGAGGGCACAGGAGAGATGGTAGATTCCCCTTTCATGTCAGATCAGCACAGCACAGCACAGCATACAAAAAGAGTTGTAAATCCGGACAAGATGAGTTGAGTTGATATCCAAATTCCATCAGGAAGAACCCGATGTCCATTCCACCCTTCCCCTGAACAACATGATAGTATCTACCAACAAGTCATGTCATGCACATCTTTGCTGTCTAGACTCCCCATCTTGCGCATTGTGATGGTTCCCTTCCACCAAAACTCAGTAGCCAAAATCCAGAGCCAAACTCAACAATGACCGTATCGATACTGTGCACGATAAAAAACACTGACGACGCTCATATTATCCCATACACCTAGATCAGGAGCCGAGGCAATCATTTGCCTCGTTTGTGTCGATCGTTCCCTCTCCGATCAGTTATTGTGACAACGGCGCGTCTCGCGAGAAAGGTTAAATGGTCATCATGGAGTCGCTTGTTTCACTATCTTCGACCTACCCATCTATTCTCATATCGATAGACTGTCAGTCGTCACAAGTCATCAGAGGAAATCTGTCTCTTGTGTTGACACGCCCAAGCGAGCTCCACGTCAGTGCGATCTTCAAAATCGTACACTGTCAAAGTGCCCAAGATTCGGCTTGCAATGCACCGGAAAGGCTATGTCATGGCACGGTGGAATTGGAGGGGACATTGTGGAGCTTTCAGTTTGACATCCTCCCAGTCCTCGGTTGTCTGAGAAAAAGGGAGATGGATTCACAACATCGGCGGCAAAGTCAAGAGCCTGTAGGACGGGACTGCGGTAGAATTGGGGGGCCCGATGGACCCTGGCAGCGGTGACTGCAACTTTTAGAGCTCTGCTCAGATTAGTGCATGGTGTTTGCGTAGGCCCTGTTTACCATCATGATGGAATAATGCATCATGGGCGTAACGGGTCGCATGTGAGATTACATCGTCGCCAAGGGAGGAGGAGTACATAGTAGGGTCCGATACCCAATTATGTCGTCGGTGATGGGAGGCCTGCCGTGTGCGCTGTATGCCAACAGGGTCAGCCTAGCAGCCGAGTCGAAAGGAATACCTAAATGCCCATTTAAGGAGGTTAAAATGTCAACCACCAGGTGCGTTGCGGGTGTGGGATTGCAGAATGAGGTGGGCGGCGGCGGCGGAAAGCTCGTCAGTGGTTGGCAGGTGGCAGCGAGGTGGCCCGATGGTCTGTGCTTTCGGAAAAAGATGAGATGGAGGGTGAGTGGAGGCGGCTGGGAAGTCAGAAGTCAGGCAATCAGAGACGGGGACCAACGCCACTGACGCCAATGGCTGGAGCTACCTGATCCACTTGGAGGTGTGCAACCGATGCCAGTGATACCGCGGGGTTCGGGCGGTTTTGGTTGAAGGAGCGAGGGAGCTGGCCGTTGTGGAATGTCACAAGCACGAGACACGGTCCAGTCTGAGCTCAGAGGTGAGACAGATGCGAACATGACCAAGTGGGATTTTTGGCTCAGGAAACTCTGATGAAAGGTGGTGTCAAAATTCAAACTGACTGTTCATTGACGTCGAAACAGACTTGGGTAGCGATGATGTCATGGGCCTGCCACAGGCAACACAAAGAGCACAAACAGACAACACGTGACAGGGTGGCTGCATACTACAGAATGACAGGATTCCAACTCTCATCATCATCGTCTGGGGGCTAATGTCGATGGCAAGAATCCAACGCAATAACCTAAGATCAAGTCAAAACTCACTCGAGATTGCGACGCATATGACAAGCACATATGTTTAATGATAACATCTTCTGCATTTGACCTCTAGCTTCCTAATGCTGCTTGTTGACTTGCTTCTGTCTCGCTAGCCCCAACTCTCTCCAAATAGTCTGCATAAGCACACAAAACACACCACACGGTCACTGGCCCGAACTGTACACACCGCTTTCGCGCTCGAAGCAGCTGTCAAGGCCGTTGGACTTCCACCGCCAAACCCTTCCAAAGGAGGAATTAATCCAACCTATTCCTCCTGTCGATAAATTAGGGCATTCCCAAGATCGCGACACAGGAGCTTATAATCAGCTTGGGTAGGCCAAAAGGTTTCCTGACTCCCAATCAAAGCCGATAACCCTGTATACTGATCCATCCTCCAACATTTGAGGCACGCTTGTAGACAACAAAAACAAGAATCTTCATAGAAAAAAGCCATCATCTCTGGGTATCAGGTCATCATAATAAACGGTGTACTGTAAACGAAGGTCGTGAATCGAATAGTCATGGCGTGATCTTGCCGCCAGTTGCCACGTTAGTCGCCTGCACCGGGCTTTTGAATCCCATCCCTTCTATCACCCATTCCTTTTGGTTGTTGTACACTGGCGTCGTGCGGCTCCGTCACGCAACACCCGATAATAATGTACATGGAGCAAGGGAAATGAAACGATGCACCTGGCTTAAGCGTGCCAAGGTCGTCATCGGTAAAGGGTCGCCGATGTAGGCGTATTGGGAATGTCGAGATCCCCTCAAGTCGGACGCATCAATTACTCCTCAATATCCGAATGGCTGGCGCTGGACATTGAATCTCCCTTGTGCACCTTTTTGTGCCGGCGCAAGTTGGAAACAACGGAGAAGTGACGCCCGCAACCTTCAACGTCACATGCAAAGGGTTTTTCACCTGTGTGGCTGTACATGTGTGTCTGTAGGGAGCTCGGTCGGGTGAACCGTTTGTCGCAGACCTTGCATTTGTGCTTCTTCTGAGTGTTGGCAGCCATCTTGGAAGAGAATTGACCCATCATTGACTGGGGAGCAGGAGGTCCCAGAGGCGGACCCAACAGCTGATTAGGGCGAGGCAATGTTCGAGAAGCTGCCATGGACTCGTACCCGGCGTCAGATGCAGCAGAGCTATAGTCTGTCGCAGAATCGGTCACAGAACCGACAGAGCTGGGCGCGTAATAGGCATATCCGCGACCAGATTCGGTCGAAATCGATGAATGGGACGAAGAGGCTTGCGGAAACCCGTAGGAGTCTGCAGACGCTCTCTGGGCTCGAGCCTCATAGATGTTCCGGGGGGTCAGGTCTTGCAGATTTTGGTGGCTGAGAGCCAACATGCCACGAGAGGCATCCAATTCTCCAAAACTAGCATTTGCGGCACGGGAAGTATCAATTCTATTCCAACGATTAGAACCACGCCGAAACCCGAAAATTACCAAAGGTGAACTCACGTGTCTGACAATTTTCTATGTTGTTGTTGCTGCTGCTGTTGGTGCATAGACTGGGCGTAGCTGAGGGAAGAGTACGACGGCGCATACGAGGCCGATGTCACCGCTGGCGAAGAATAGGCTTGCTCGCCGTAATTGGGGCGCGGCATGTCTTGAGGGTAACTTAGCAAATCCGTCGCAGAAAAGCCAGTGCTGGAGAAGGCGCTACCTTGAGCCATTGAGCCAGTAACTGGGGGCATGTGAGAGTAGGGCATAGAGATGCCAGTTCTCGCACCGTCCGTCTTGGATAGAGCTGGAAAGGAAGAGCTGGAGGTGCTGGTCTGATGAGACCAGGGATCGCTAAATTGCGGTGTTGTATGCATGTTGGGATACATGTGATCGTAAGTTATGCCGCCGTAGTGTCGACCTTGGTTGTCAATGACCATCGTCATGGAGCCGGTGTTTGCAAGAGCGAAGGCAGCAAGTGTGAAGCGTGGTGATTCTTAAGATCGAAAGGATTCTCTCTGCTGTTTGTTGCTGGTCGCAACGAATGCGCAAGTCACCAACACAGGCCCAGGTTTGAAGTCTGGTTCCTGAGAGAGAAGATGTGGAAGACGATCCAACTTTCCCAGAGGGGATCGGCGACTGTTATGTAGCTTCTTGTGTGGAGAATCTGGAGGTGGCCCGACTACCAATGGTAGGTCCCCAGTCAAAGGATGTTGATCTTTTGCTTGAGTGGTCGATAGTGGCAAGGAGCAGTGCCTCCTTGATATCGATAGCTGTGCTTTGTCGTGGTTGTACCCTTCTTCAACCAATTCGGCGAGCGGCAGATCGACGGGATTGGCTGAGGTAAAATGGTTGTGATGTCGTGTCGAGAAGCAGCAAATGGTGCCTTTTAACCATACAAAGTCTGTCCCAGGGTGGAAAACTGTGTATTGAATAAGTCTTCCACTTCGGAGATTCGACGTGTCGCGGTGGGTGGAATGGATATCTCCTTTTTTTTACTCTTTGATGTCGACGCGGTAGTCGCGGTTGTTGAATACTTGGGGAGAGCGTGTGTCTTGTCTCAGGTCGCGGAATGTTAAGAGTAGATGAGATCTTTTGAGGTTTCAGAGAACAAGGTTCTCTCACGCAAAAGGGTGGGGAAAAGTCAGGGTAGATAAGTTGTTTTGGAAGCACCGAAGTTGACCGTGGACTTTCGTTGAGCAAGAGGTTACGTCGGTGGAGGTGACCCTTCTCTTCTGCGCAGCGCTGGCTAGCAGTTCTTGGGGCAACTGGCATCATCACAATTGTCGATTTACCCTTGACCTCTGGCCTTTCCGCCCTCTTCTTTCTCTCACCCTTGTGCTTGGGCTCGTTTCTTGATGCAGGGTGCTTAGCTCGAAGGCTTGTTGGATGGCGTTTCTAGTGGAGAATCCGAAAGCCAAATTGACTGGCGGAGGGAGCCCTGCAAGCCAGCCCGGAGGTTGGATGAAATCAGTGGGGTGGGAATGGAAGGGATAGGGAGGGGAAAGGCGCACCTCCCTTGGCTACACGGAAACTTGAACCTGGGAAGCAGGACGCTCTTGGGAGCGACAAGGATCCCAGGGTTTGACTACTGTGTGGCCTAAAAGGGTGGGGAGGAAGGCAATCGACCCTCTCTCTGGCTTTCATCAGTTGCGGGTGTCGGTGAGAGATGATTGGATCAAGTCGGCTGTCTCGAATAGGATGAACTTGTGTGGGTGCGCGAGCCCCGGTCGACGAGTAAGTGGAGGTAGGATCCCTGTCCTTGCCCTACTCGTAGAGATGAGGCTTAGGACAAGAGCAGAGACCAGGATCATGACGATCGATGCAGGTGGTGGGTAGCTAAACCGAAGTAGACGAGTGGATCTCTGTCTTCATGCCAGATTGGAAGATGGTGGCTTGTTTTTGCCAGCCCAAAATTCCTGTCGCGGCGGGAGACAAGGATGTTGGTTCATGATAGGAATGCCCGTGGTGTCATCAGAGCAAGACAAAGACAAAAAAAAGTTAGCATTCTGTTGGAATTAAGGAGAGAAGTAAAAGACAGCAAGAAGAGATTATTGCCAAAGGTAAAGTGGTTACCATGGTCAACGAAGACTCTTTTTATCAAAACATACACGAAAAACAAAAACAGAACCACAGCTTGGGACGCGGGCGACTGACTAGGTACGGTTCCTCTGGTCTGTTGCGGCAAAATAGCAAGCAGCAGGTAGGTACGAGTAGTGTAGGCTGTAAGCAGGATTTCCCCTCCTTCTCCTCCACCTCCACCATCACCATCACCGTCACACCCAACCACCAACTTCACCCTTGTTGTGCCCTTCCCCAAGGGTACCTAAGGTACGAATCGGTAGAAAGCCTCTGGTACGCAGTGGATATCCGGTCAGCGGTACCAGAGAAGAGTCCTTTGAAGCTTGGGGGTCAAGAGCCGGGTGGCGTCTGTGCTGCAGCCATCCCGTTGTCTTTAGTGCTCTTAGTGGCCCTGGAGCGGGCCCTTTTCCCCCTTTGGGGCTTGGGTGCTTGGGCTTTGCTACCCAGAGAGCAAAGCCTGAGAGGCGAAAAAGGGCTGCCGACGTCCACACCTTCGTTGATTGACGGAAAGTGGCCGGACTGGGCATAGAACAAAAACAGTCAAGAGCCCTTCCACTACTGCACTCCATTGATGCTGCCCGGAGTATTCCTTGATGTGTACCTATACTGATACTAGACTAGTAGCTGGCTGTACCATTAGCTGGTTGTAAGAAAGAAAAGGGTATATGAGTTCTGGGGAGGAGAGATCCGGTCATCCAGGGACTTCTGAAGTAGTACTGTAGAATAATACAGTCAAGGGTCAAGGCAGACTTGGAAGACGGAGTACTGCGCTCCTCCGAACGTATGTTTGTACTATACCGAGTACATGCAGATACCTTTTGGTTTTCTGCTTCTCTAGTTCCAATTGAAATGCGGTGTGCCCAGTTCAGTCTGTCCAGTCTATGAGGGGGTGGAAAAATAGGGTAAAGCATCTTTCGTCAAGCCCAAGCTCCAAGCCCCCAAGCCAAACCCAAACTAGCACTCAACAAGTAGTTGATGGTTACCTAGCAGTGCCGAGTATTCGTCCCCTCCCCTAAAATGCCCCCCTCCTACTGTCGCCATTAGGTACCCGGTCTCTTTCCTAAGTGCCCCCATTCATGCAAGATGTAGCAACTCTCGCCCGGACAGCGGCACAGAGGTTCCTCATCTCCCCAGCCGGTGGCTTGCTCCTTCAACCAATGCCCACTCGTCAGGCCAGTACTAAGAACAGGAAGGAGTGCGATAGGGAACCTCTACCTACCTATGTACATAGGTATCTAGCTACGCGGAGGTCCAAGTGAGAAACCCCAAACGCCTCCCATTCAAGCCCTTTCCCTCCAGGTCGTAGTCCCCCAGTGTCGGATTGTTTCTTTTGGCCCAACCTCACCCAAACAGATCCCCGTTGCCAACCGTTGGTCACTCCTTTTGGACTCCCCTCGGCTTTGACCAGAGTCTAATTCACCTTTGAAGTGTTGCGACTTTGCTAGCCATGGTGTTTATCCTCAGTTGGGTTGTGCCCTTGTGTCCACTGCCCACTCGCCCAGCACCCATCGCATCGCCCCTCTTCCCCCTCCTCAAAAAACCTTGAACCCGCCAACCCCTTTAATCGTCCAATGGACTTGATGCCCTTCAATCTTGTCGCCTGCAGGGATCTGATCGCAGTGCCTCCTGTGCCCGTGCTCCCGCCCTCCTTTACGAGCGCCACTGACGATATCTGTCATGCAAGTTCCCCCTCTAGAGCTAGGGGTGTTCCCACCCCTCGTAGGGTACGAGTACACCACCTCTCCGCCTTTCCTGCTACGACCAAGGCTTTTGTCCAGGAGCTTGTCAGGCTAACGAAAGAACCAATCGAATACTCTAGTCTCCATTGGTGGGTTACTCTTCTTCCACCATCTCAGAAACATTGATATCATGTCCATTGGCAACGAGTAGTACCTGCATATCCACAACGGTACCTTCGTTTGAGTATCGTGCTGTGCGTTACCGCCTAGGCTTTGTGCCGATTTCCGGGTGCCAGTTGAGATGGTCAAGACCATATCGAGCGCTCCTCGATGTAGTATTCGTTTTCACAAGGACTGTGCATTATTGAATGGTGAGGGGGCAAATTCCATGTCGTCGTTAGCCTCGCCTCGTCTCGCATTGATAGCGAATGCATGCAGTCCTCGGAGAATAAGTCTGAACTCCATTGTGCTGATCTGTCTCTCTGCCGGAGTTTTTAGCGACACATGTGCTTCACGTGAACGAAACTTGTGCTGATCCCGCCCCAAACTTCTGTTTTCCAGACGCAATTTTGGAATGCGTCAGTGAACAACCCTCAAGGCGTTCTGTGTGTATCAATCCAGGCGTGTTGGTTCGTCGTCGCCTCGCCGAAGATGGGTAGCTGTCCTAAATTGATTGTGGAGTGCATGCTCGTCCACGTACCCATGTAGCGTCGCCCCAACACCCAAACGCTTCATTTCAGATTATTGCGAGGGTACGCATCCCTGTAACAATCCAGCGGATCCATGTCGACGGCGGTCGGTGCTGTTGTACCCAAATGGCACGCCCAGTCGGATTCGTCGCCACCAGCTGGACCCCAGATCTCAGGCGTTGCCTCAGCCTGCTCGTTCTGAAAGGACCGCCGAATAGCTGGTCAAGTTTCACAGATGCCGGCCCTCGTCGCAAGCAGTCCCTGCAGACACGTACTGCAAATACCCCTACCACCTCATACGTAAAACATCTGAATGCCGACGCAGGGTCCACGAAACTTGGCAATGGTTGTGGCCATTTGTAGACCCAGCATGACGTCTTTGTGGAAGGGCTTACAAGGAGTTGACTGCGGACCTTGTCCCTCGAATTAGCCCTATGTTTTGGCCCAATTTCTTACTCGTATGCCCTGTTGCTTCGAACCAGTGGTAGATACTCCGTAGCCTTAGTGCTCTCTCCCTTTTGCCAAAGATTGCGCTTATCCTTTCGGTCTTTCACTGTTCACACTCCGACACAAATAAATAGTCGGCGCTAAGGACGCAACCTCTCCACTACCTCTACCGGAGATTTCCTGGATTCCTTTAATGAGGCGTCGGCAAGGACCAGTGGGACCATAACCTGAAACGACGCCATGGCGTCTTAGGCGGTTACCTCCTCTTAGCCTGTCAGGATGCCCTGTCCCATTTGCGACAATCACGACAGCCGGGCAGCGGGTGGCGCTCGTCCTCGCCGAGTCAGAAGCCCTGCGTCCTCAACCTAGCAACTTCTTTTTCTCAACGTCATGCAGCCTATTCTAGAGGGGGTGGGAGGAGAGGTGTTACTGGTTTAGACAAGGACGACTCTGGTAAGGCATCAGGCTTTGGTCGAGTCCCTGAACCAGGCGGGGAAGGGTCTTTTGAGATCAGTGTCACCATCAATAGCAACAAATGGGAATACCGACCTCAAGGAACGATGATGCAATTCGGGCTTACACAGAACCTGTTTTTTGAGGAGTCGCCTGTCACGAGTTACCGTGGGCAGAGAATAATATCGAGCCATAACAAAGCCGGCAAGCATACGAACCGAACAGAGTGGTGGGGGCAAATATTCTCAGTCGTTGGTTGGTCTTTGGATCAGAGACCAGCAGTCCCGACGTGCGGATGCTAAAGGTTTCTCGGGTTGCGGGTTGAAGGTGATTCAATGCGTGACTGGAACTTGGTACGCAGTGATGGAATCTGCGGTTGGTAGTGCCAAAAACGCCACCTTTGCTTTGGTGATAGTTTCAGAGCGGACAACCCGTGTCAGATGCCCACTGTTTGGGCGCTGGATCGATTTGGCGAGATAAACCTCGATTTTTTCTTTTGGCTCTACATCCTCATTTCGCACCAGATGGAGACCGTCAGAGCTTGCTAGCAGGTCTCGCAAGGCCCAAAGAGTCTAGAGACTTTCCAAAGCCGCAGGACGAGTCTTCTCTAGACCCAAAGAAGAACGCCCCCCAACTCCATCTCCGCTCCCAGAACTCTGCATTGGTACTTGCAGGTGCTTCCTCTCCAGCTCCGCTCCAAGCCGCAAAACTCTGAAGTTCGGGGAGGCTAATACGCGAACCAGCGTCCCAAGGAGGCATAGCATCTGACCGAAATGGATTTGTTTTGGAAGAGCTGAAGACAACCACGGCGGTCAGATGCAACCCCTTTCGTCCTCGGTATCTCTGTCTAGGATCCGGACCACAGGCGCATCATGAAATTTGTTTTCCTCGCGGCCCATGGCTCTCCTTCCCGCTTTCGAGACAACTTCTTGTGCGCCTGTGCGATGGGCAGAGAGGAGTGTTGTGTTGTATTTGAGATGCCTAGCTTTGAAGAGGAAACTCGAAAACCAAGCAACCATTGAAGATCTTGCAGACGCCACATCTCATCTGCAATTCTGTGTTCGTCAACAACATCGAGCGGCTTTCGATCCTGAGCAGACGTCCCATCACAGTTGCTCCCTGCAGGATCAAATTTCGGTACCGCTTCTTCTATCATCACATTTTACGTATTCAGCAACCGCCATCTTAGAAACTAACCCAATACATTGAGGACTGGACTGCGCAATGACCTCCTTGTTCGCAGGCCCAGGAGTCTGAGCAGAAAACAACCGAGCGTGGATGCGCTACGTCCTCGCTTTCTCTAGTGTCTCAAGCGCTTACCAAATCTATTTTCCGAATCAATAAATGAGACAATTCCATCCGACCAGGGTGTCCAAGGGAAATTGAGCCCCTGGTTTCGAACGCGTCGACTATGGAGCATAACTAGAGCCTTGCGGCATGTCTCATGTAGCGAGCCTTACGCAGGACTCAGCAATAGCGCAAAGAATATTCGAGGAAAGGAGATCAAGCGTGCTCGAAAAGTTCACGTACACGAGTTTGGCTAGCACCTCAAGGTCAACAAAGCCAAGCTTCAGATAACCAGTAGAACGAGAACTCGACTGTGATCTTCGGAGGCTCGACCCAAAGGGGTGCCAACAAGGTATGTGAGCGTGCCCAGGAGGTGCGAGTGGATTTCTGCCAACATGGCTACTCTATCCGCGGGTAGTCCACTTGATTGAACCAGGTTCTGCCTTTCCGCGCTCCCAGCAAAATGCAATCGCGTATGAGGCGAAAGATACAGCCGACTGATACTTCGAGGAAAAAGCTGATCAATCCACCCTTCTTGGTGAGGTTTCCATGAAGACAACTGATCTTCAAGTCATCGCATCTGCAACACGTGCTGGACCCTTCAGAGATCTTTTGCGGGAGGTGGACATGGGTATCAATCGCGGCCCGAGGCTGATCTGACGATCACGATCGACGAGGCTGTTACCCATTGCCCCATGAGAATGACAGAAAAGGCTGAAAGCATCCAACGACGTCTATAAAGAGGGCAAGATTCAACAACGCCGTTTTTATAACCTCCGCTCCATGTGAGAAGAAATAGGGACTCCGCTCTAACGTATCCTCTTGAGCTTTTCGGTCTGGAAATGAAGACGATCGTCGAAACGGTCACTCTGTGGCAGGGTCAGCGAAATGGGGTCAGGCGTGGGATCAAGGGACAAACGCACCTTCTCTGCAATGGTGGTGATTAGGTTATTCTGGGCCTCAACTTCTTCTCCCGTGGCTCGAGCGAGGAGATTAAGACGTTTGGCCGCCCCAGAGAGCTCATCCAGATTCCGGTCGATCTCATTCTCCATGCCCTCATCCTCGCTGTCGGCCTCGAACTGGTACTTGGCCCTTTCAGCTAGATTTGTTTTCGTCGTACCAACCGTTGAAGCATCGTCCAAACCCTTGAAATTTTGATTCATACGTTGGGTGCTCCTGAAAGCAGCCTCTCGGGTAGCCTCACGTGCCTCTCTTTCAGCATGATGCCGGTCCATGATCTGTTCATCCCGGCGCGCACGTCTGTCCTTGGCTGTAAAGGGATTATTGACATGGACTGCAAACATGCTCCGGTTCAATGTCTTGAGCTCTTTGGTCTTGTCCTCGGCGATGTTGATATAGTTGTTGCCGAGATCAAGATTCCGATCTGTGTTGTGCATTCTCTCACCTTGTGCACCGAGTCTAGCCAGAGTATTCCGCCCCATCTCCTCAGCTTGAGCAGCAATCCGAAGGGCGTTTCTGGTAGATGCAACATCTTGTTGTTTCATGAACTTGATGTCTTGTTTGAGAGCATTGATATCCTCTTCCTCCTCTTCCTCTGCGGTCAGTTGACGGTCACCATATGCTCCGAAGCTGCGGTCACCAGCATCAGCACCACCAGAGTTGTATTCATACTCAGGAGGGCCACTATTTGGATTTTGCTGCTTCTGTTCCAGCCTTTCTCGTGCTCCGCCGAACAACTCATCGCGGTTGTTGTCGTTGTCGTAGAGAGAGGAGGAACCCAACCCTCCATATCCTCCCTGCCGTGAGGTTCCACTAGGCTGTTGAATGCTTGCGTATGGGTTGCCACCAGGGGCACCGCCTCCATAACCGTTCTGGTTCCCGAATTTGTCTGCCCCATAACCACTACCTCCCCCGTACCCGCCTTGGGCAGGACCGTATTTATTGTCTCCTCCAAAACTACCTGATGACTGATTGCCGTATGCGTTATCCCTTCCATATGGTGGCCGCTGTTGACCAGGACCGGGCAAGCCACTGGGCTTACCAGAGCCTGAGGGGGCTCCTTGACCTGAGGGAGGTATAACTCCAGCGCTCATCTTAGCCTTTGTGTAGGGATCCGGAGGAATGGCTGGCTGTGCATAGGGGTTTGTGGAGGCATAAGGGTTCTGGGAAGGAGCAGGAGATTTGCTCTTGGATCTGGAGCCGAACAGAGCGAGTCTGCTGGAATCATCGTCGTCGTCGCCTTTGCGAAGGCTGAATTTACCCATGTCTGTGGAATGTCGAGTAACCAGGAAGAGCGAGAAACGAGAGGCAAAGAGGTGTAGAAATGAATCAGGGGACGGAGACCCTTAATAAGGAGAGGACAGTACGCAGAGTCTTTCTGAGGCTGATATAGGATCTTGAGCTGAAACAGGCGGACGTGGCAGGATGGGCAGTGCACCCTCCCTCAGATGGATGGCGGCCTCGACCCCAAATCCAACTAAACCGCAGTAGCCCACGGATTCTGGTCTCACTGCGCCGGCGGGGTGTCTCGAGACGTCCAATAGAATTGCGTTGTCGGCCTCAGTGTCTTGGCTGGTTTGTCCCCAGCTCAAACCCTTTTCTGAGTAAAGCGCGTCTCATGAAACTCATCAATATGATCTTAGCCCAGCTGAGCAGATTGCAAGAACTTGTTATCAGCCATGAGATAATGCACAGATTCTAAGAAAGGCCAATGGCCCCCAACATAGACAAAGAGGCGGAGCATCTCCGGAACAAAGCCAGAAAGGAGCTCCTTGGATTGCTTGAAGGCGTGAGTAAGGAAGCTACTGTTCGTCGTTGTCCTTGTCCATACTAACTCTGCATCAGGTCCGCGGCAAGAAGAACTTGGTCATAGGAAAGGATCTTACTGGACTGCTTAGCCTGTTCATTCAATTCCCAACGCTCAAGGAGTATGGTGTGGACAAAGTCTTCGAGCTCGAAAATGGCAACACCGACTCTTCGCAGAGGAACGTCGTCTATCTTGTTCATGGAGAGAAGGCCAGCCTGGTCCAGGCTGTCGCAGGTGCGTCTTGAAGTGTCTGCCATTTCTACCTACGGGACTTACAAGGAGACTGCGTGGATCATTTCCTCTGTGCCTTGCTGTCAGTCTAGCTCCCAATATCGACAGGGTTTAAACCATAATCGCATTGCCTCTATTGAAAAATCCTCTTCATTCGATCTTGTGACAGAGGTTAACGGCACCTGCTAACACCATGTAAAACAGAGCAAATCAAGAAGCTCCAGAGAAATGGATCTGTCGAGCACGAAATCTCCGTGTGCTGGGTGCCTAGAAGGACTCTGGTGTCGAACAGAATCCTAGAGGACGAGGGCATACTGGGGGATGTCAATGTGTCGGAGCTTCCCATATACTTCCTCCCCTTGGAAGACGACATGTTCTCACTGGAGATGGAGGACGCATTTAATGATTTATACCTAGTATGTCCCCGTGTTCCGACAGGACAACCCTTTTGTTTCTCACAGTGTCACAGCGACGCGATCCTTCCCCTCTGTATCTGGCCTCGAAAGCCTTGATGCAGATTCAACAACGACATGGTTTGTTTCCACGGATTTTGGGCAAAGGAGATAACGCCAAAAAGCTTGCAAATCTCCTCCTCCGAGGACGAAAGGAGCTTGACGCGGACGAAGCCGCGACACAGTACACCACCATGCCGAGCACCTCAATCGAGCAGCTGATCATAATCGATCGAGAGGTCGATTTCGCCACTGTCTTGTTGACCCAGCTGACCTACGAAGGCCTGATTGATGAATTGGTCGGTATAAAGCACAATCGTGCGGAAGTGGACTCGGCCATTATCGGCGCAGCTCCTCAGCAGCGATCACAGATTGATTCTTCCTCGACATCTCCGGCCCCTGCCGTCCGTCAAGGTCTCAAACGCAGGATCCAGCTAGACTCATCCGACTCGCTGTATGAACAGTTGCGCTCCTCCAACTTCGCCCTGATTGGACCTCATCTGAACAAAATAGCGAGACGACTAGAATCAGACTACGAAGGTCGCCATGCCGCTCGCGGCATCAACGAGTTGAGAGACTTCGTCAACAAGCTACCAGGTTTCCAACAGGAGCACCAGTCATTGGCCATTCACACTAATCTCGCAGACGACATGAGCAAGTATACTCGCTCCGAAGCCTTTAACCGCGAGCTAGAAGTACAGCAGAATATCGCAGCGGGAACAGACCCAATCTACCAACACGATACTATCGAGGAGCTGATCGCCCGCGATACTCCCTTATCTTCTGTCCTCCGACTTCTCTGTCTCGAGTCAGCAATAGCTGGGGGTCTGCGCTCGAAGGACTTGGAGTCTTTTCGGCGGCAGATCTTGCACGCCTACGGCTTCCAGCATCTCCTAACTTTAGATAAACTGCAAGCGATGGAACTTCTGCAGCCTCGCTCGTCCAGCTCGGCTCTGCTCCTCCCAGTCGGTGGCGGAGGGCCCTCGTCAGAAAAAGGCACAAAAACAAACTATGGCTATCTCCGCAAGGAGCTGAGGTTGATTGTTGATGAGTACAACGAACAGGACCCCGAAGATATTGCATACGTGTATTCCGGCTACGCTCCCCTGAGCATACGCATTTTGCAATGCATCTTACAGAAACAATATCTTCAAACTCTACACAAGTCGCCGTTGCCCCTTACGTCTTCTAGTACAGGATGGACGGGCTTCGAAGACATGCTGAAGTCTGCAAGGGGACCAACATTTAATCTTGCGCAGAAACCTGCCGATGAGAAGGCATCGAGGGCGAAAGCTGCGCTTGCGGGCACGGGCAATTGGAAGACTATCTTTGTCATGTTTGTGGGAGGTATCACCTTCACGGAAATTGCAGCGTTGAGATTCATCGGACGCAAGTTGGTTGAGTCGGGGCAGAGGAAGAAGATCGTCATTTGCACCACTGGCATTGTTAGTGGGAGGAGTATTATGGAAGGCGTCATCGAGAAATCCCATCTGGGCTCAGGGGTCGTCGCAGCCTGAACCACAATCTGTGGCAGCCTCAAATTTTAGAGCTTGAGACCTCGCCGACACTGAATTCAGCTTTGACGCCCAGATGATCAGTGACCCAGCCCGCTTCCATTCCTTCTTCGTCGATCAAAGCCTTCTTGACATTCTCTTCTTCGGCTTCGACCCCCATACCGATGCGCTCGAATTTCTCGCATCTCAGCTTTCCACAGAAGAACAATTTGTCCATTCGACTGCACCCAAACATGTTCCTCAGTTTAGTCGGAGCCATCTGGCCCCAGGTATATCCTTGGTCGGTATCCTCCTTTCCGCCAAGTGTCAGGTATGCATCCTGGAGGTTGTTGTCCGAATGGAGTGTCTTGTCGAAGTCCTGGATGGCGTTGAGATCTCCGCCGAGCACACTGCCGCTTACCTCTGGGTCATGCATCCATTTGGCAGCCGTTGCTAGCTGGTGAGGTCGTTTCGGTGGATCCGCAATCAACGACTCCAGATGTGTATTGCAGATGCGGATGATCTGGGCGTTGGCAAACGTCACGTCGACGAACAATCCGTCCCTCTCCATGGCGGTCTGCTCGTAATGGACACGGAAGACGGAAGCGATGGGCAAGACCTTTGGAACGAGCGTGCAGGTACCATAGTACCCGGATTCCCAGTACTTGTTGTCTATATCGGTTATGTTGTAGTTGGCTCTAATCCACGGCTGGGTTTGAAGTAGTGCCAGATCGGTTTCAAGCATCTCTTGTAACATGATGATACTGGGCAGTGGGGTGTCCTCCACATGAGATTGCAGGTGCTTGAGAGCAGCCTGCATGCGCTCATCCGCGAAAGGCAGCATAAAGTCGATGTTCCACGACAAGAGCACGAATCTGCTCAAGCCTGTCACCCCTGAAGCCGTCTTGGACGGAGTGACCTGCTGCCATGAGGAAGTCTCAGGCGAGAAGGAGAAGTAGGACTGGTCGAATCTTTGCTGTCGTGTCCAAGGATGCGACGATTTCTTCTTCGACTCGATGAGCTCGATGATCCTCTTGAATTTGGGGTCCATGCTTAGACGTTGCACCGTAGGTAGAGTTCCGAGGCTGTGAGATCTGGTGCAGATACACGGCCGGGGCCGAGTAGCGACAAGCCGGATGTTGTTCGTAGCAGTCTTGATGCTCCCGCGAAAATCGAACATGCAATTTCTGGCCAGAACTGAATCACCCACAAGATAACATCTCAAAAGAGGCTTGAGCAGTCAGCAAAGGACAGATAAAGAGCCATTGAGGCGATGGATGAATGACAGGGCGCAGCCGAGGTTGCGATGCGCAGGTTGTCAGATGCTTGTTGCTCATTGGACACAGTCGATTTTCATCCTCGAGCAACCACAAGCACGGAATCTCTTCTGGTACATAGTCAACATCCCCGTCGTTCGTTCTCCTTCTTGCCAGAGTCCAGCCCATTTTCGGTCTCATACACAGAGATGGACAGATGAAATCGCGGCGGTGGTCCTTGATCGTCAACACCAGAGCTCCAGTGTCCACAACATAATCGTCTTCCAAGCATGACTGCGCAGAAATGTCAGATCAAAGTCCAGCGAACACATCCCAGTCCAAGCGGACCAGACCGGTAATTTCTTGCCTGGAATGCAGACGGAAAAAGCTACGGTGCTCTCGTTCGTATCCCTGTCAGCAATGTGTCAAAATTGGACGCCCTAGTGGATGCGAATATCAGGCAGGTCAAGAACCGGAGCCAAACTCCGAACATCCAGTATTCCTGAATACCGTGAACAAGCGACGACGCCTAGATCCGCCGCCCAGTGTGGACGGAGGGGGGAGCGATGTTGCGCGAATTGGTCTCTCTGACAATGGGCCGCTTGTGGTGAGGCATGGTATCATAGAGGATCTTCAGGACCGCGTGTCCAGACTCGAGCAGGCCTTACTCGCTCAAAGCACCAACCGCAGTGGCGAGCCGCCCGTCACTCAAAGTCTGCCGATTCATCCTCCATCAGACGGCTTTGTCGACACTGAAAAGTCCTCGACCAGGCCTGGTCAGATGAGCTCTCAGGTGAGGCCTTGTGCAAGAACCTTGACCATGCCTCCTGGGTTACTCAAATCTGACTCTGATAGTTCAACGACGCTTGCACGTTCATGACCAGGCTGCAGTATGATTCAACCACTCCCAGGCTGGCAGCGCTGCGAAGAGGACTGAAAGATTTGCATTACTCTGTCGAGAAGAATAACAAGGGTCAACACACCACCCAGCCGCAGTCAGTTTCCTCAATCAGCGAGCCTTCTCTCCAACTGCCGCCGTTCGATGTGTGCGAAAGGCTGGTCGTTCTCTATTTCGACAATCTAGAACATTGTTTTCGGATTCTGCATTTCCCCGAATTCAGAGATCAGTTGCGCATCTACTTTTCAAGGGGCGAGCACGCATGCAGGTTTGGTTTTGTTCCGCAGCTGGTCGGTGTGCTGGCACTCGCCGTCACTCTTGGTACCCATAGGGAATGTGAAGCAGCTCGATCATGCCTGGCCATCAAACCTGACAATGCGCTGCAATTAATGAAGGACTTCCTTCGAGGTCTCCGGGATACTGAGAGATACCGGTTACCAGCTTTGCAGGTCAAGATGCTTCTCTCCATTTGCAGCTGGCTGAACTTGGTTCCGATGGACGACCTTTTCCGCCTGAATGGTGAACTTCTTCGAGATGCCCTGGTGATGAAGATGGACCAAGACCCCTCGACCATAGCAGGGATTACCGTCTTCGAAGGAGAGCTGCGGCGCCGCACGTGGATGACGATCGTGGAGTGTGACCTCATGCTGTCGATTCTGTGCAAGATGCCATGCCTGGTGCCTCCATACACCTCCAACCCGCCCCGAAATGTCAACGATGATGAGATATTCGAGGGTATGGAATCCCTGCCTCAATCACGACCAACACAGGATTGGACCGATGGTTTATGTCAATTTCTCCTCGCGCAGTCGTTTCCGCGCCGGGTTGTGGCCTGCAAACAAATCGACGACGCGACCCATGTCAAGATCCAAGACCTCCTCCAGCACACTCGGTACCTGGAGAAAGTGCTCCAAGATCTCCCTCCGCCATTACGCTTCAACTATACGGGTGACGCTGCGAGCAAGACCCCCTCTCGACTGATGGCCCGGATGGAACTTGACATCAGCATCAGACGACCCCTGATGCACCTGTACTCGCGCTGCATTCTTTCGCCCGACACATGTGAGCTGGAGCGGGAAGTGCGGGCCGGCTACCTCCAGAGCTGCCTCATGCTCACAAACTACCAAGACCTATTCGATCCGCAGTACTCTGAGCTCAACGTGCCCCGTCCGCAAGGCTACTGGGACTTTTTCTACACCTGCTACCGACAGGAACTGGGCCACGCCATCCTGGGGCTCTGTCTCGAGATCGAGAAGCTCGGCTCCTCCGCCAGTCGGTCGAGTAGCACGCAGCCACCAGCTCCTGCGGCACTGTCGCCGGACGGCCCCAACGACGGCGTCGTCAGAACGCCCTCGTACACGCAAAACAGTCTGATCTACGCAGCCAAAGATGCCGTCGAACCGATGACCCGCCGCCTGCCCTACCGCGGCTCCAAAGTCAAAGACATAGTCTACTACAACATCATCCTGACATCACTGCTGCCGCTGCCGTTGCCGCAGCAAAGCACTGGAAGCACTGGGGTGCAGGATAAGGACGCCATGATCATAGAGAGACTGGAGGAGCTGGTCCGCGAATGTCACGCCGAGCTCGAACGAGCTGGCGTCTCAATCATTGCAGCCCCTCCGTCCTCCGAGCCGAATTCTCAGCCTCTTCCTCCTCCTCTGTCCACGACGACGACGACCTACACGTCCTGTATCGGCACCAGTTTCGACCCCGTGTGGGAGTGTTTCCCAAAGATTGACATTTTCCGAGATGTCGATCCAGACGAGTCGTCGTAACAACGCCGGTGCCGGTCGATCGACCTGGGCGAATTGTTATACTGAGAAGCCTCTCAGGGATATACAAGGACTTTCATGTCACGCGTGGCCCGCCTCTCTATGGGTCGAGGCAGTTTCACCTCAAACATTCTCCGTGAGGTCTACCAGGATGGAGACAAGCGAGGCGACGCGAAGGGATATCATCTGCGCGAGAGGTAACGAGGACAAGATTGTACAGGTCAACAGCGTATGCATAGTGACAATACAACACGACACGGCAAGAACATGAACGCCGTTGGATATTTAATGCTCCAGAGGTATATGATATCCATTTCAGAATATACCCAAACCCGCCTTGATGCATAATTCCGCCGGTCTATGTCTATTGAATGCTGATTTTGTTCATTCTCGAACCTTTTTTCTTTGAAAATGCCGCAAGATGGATTTTGATCGTGCTGTCGAGGTCCATTCTGCTCGAAGCTCGCTAGATGCCCAAAGAAACCCCCTTCTTTTCGCGTCAGACCGTAACCATCATAACATCGGAATTTTTGTTGTGGTGTTAATACCCTCTAAGCCGATGAAGGTTGACGACGATAGTGTGTCAAGCAACTATGTCGCCTGGCTCTTAGAGTAAATGGGTATGCTCACGTCTTTTGGTCCGCTAGCTCCGTCTTGCTGACTGCTCGACCATCGGCAAAGTGCCATTGTGGTGGGAAAGAATGCCGCGACGGACTGTTTCACCGCATCCATGCTATCAGCCGAAATACTTTCGCAATGCTTCGTAGATACTGAAAATTATTGCTGAACTGGGCGCCGCACGGAAGACCGTGATGCCGCAGCCTCGATAGAATCCCTTGAGTCCCTGTTCTCGCCATAAGTCTCGACCAGTGGAAAGAAAGGTTAATTTGTTCTGTCCAGCGACAATATCGGTGCTGCAAGTCTGCATGCGTGACTTGATCGTGTCGGCAGGGTAGAATACGAAGTTGTAAGACATCCCTGCCGCTGCTCCCGCCACCATCTGCTGCCACACTTTGACATCTGATACTTGCTTCACAGTAGGGTCCGAGCGGAGGAACAACATTTTGACAGCCTCATAGGAGCCGAACCATGCAGCCGAGCCGCCTGTTTCGCGAATAAGTGTGCCTAGCTGTCCATGCCAGAAACCAAGCAGCCCTTGGGTGCGAAAGATTGTGGTGATGAGCTGCATGGGGCCGGGTGGCCGAGTCGTCGAGTATCCCAGCTTTGAGGCGAGGTTGCCCGGGGCCAATGGGACTTGCATCTTGCATTTTATGAGTTCGATCGGTGTAAGAAGGAGAGACGTAAATGCTCCTGAGGTGGCACCACAAGCAACGAGGTAGGAGAAGGGGAGTTCGACCTTGCCGTGAGAATCTCGATCTCGTTGCGCGCGCAGTGACGGTGTTGCCTCCACAATGATATCCTGGGCGATTCGATAGCTGAAGAACAACGAGGATGTCTCTATCGCAGCACCGAGCAAGGGGGCACTGATTCCCCTGTACAGAGACACAACAGGCCCTTCAGGCGATCGAAACGCAGCGGAGAAGGCATCGAGGGGTCCTTGCAGCCGCGGGCCTGCGCCAGCCTCGTGCGGTTGGGACTGTAGTCGAACTTTGACCGTATCGAAGGGGTATTCGACAAATTTCCCCAGTATTCCAGCTGTTGATCCATAGACTATGTCCTTGAGCGCTTCCAGGCCTTGGCTCGGAGGGGTATGCAGGACCTCCGACTCTCGGAGGGTAGATGTGCTGGGATTCTGACCATTGCTCTGGTCGAAGCCAGCGACTGACTGTAGCTCATCTTTGAAGGCTGCCATGCAGAGGATAAATGGAGGAGAAGGGACGGGAAAATGCTATCGTTGTAACATATTGCGGTATCTGTGTGAGAGGGGCTCCGTGGAGCGAGGGAAGAGCGGTGTCGGTGTCGTTTGCGAAAATGGAGCGGAGTAATAAAGCGCAGTGACACACCAGCAGGATGTAGTCGAGAAAATTTTCTGTGTCAGGGATCAAGCACAAGACTGCTAATGCATGGCAGGACTGGGCGCAGTTCAGAAGAGCCCATGAAGTGTTGCATTCATCTTTCAAAACCTGGCAATCGAGGGGTCCGCCAGTTGTACGTCGAGGAGTGGAGTGAATGGCGAAAAAGATTTTGTGGACAAACAGAGGCGATGAGGAAAAGTCGCATACGCTAAAAGAATCAAGAGTCTGACAGCAACACGGACAAGACTCCAAGTAAGTGATGCCCTTGAGGTTTTGCCGTAAATTGACTACGTCAGACCCGCCTTTTTCTGCACTGCTCAGATCCCGATAAGATAAGAAATATTATTTGCTAGCCTCCACTACAAATGTTCGCCAAACGTGGACCTTGTCCTGTGCACTGTTCTTTGAGAGGGACACCTTCAGGCTTAGAGGCGCACTGGGTACTACCAGCCCCTACCACTTGGACCAACGAACAAGATGTCTGTTGTCCAGCCACCACCGGCTGGGGCAACATCTCCGCTAGCAGAATCATCCCACCCAAAAGCTTCAACTGATTCTGTCCAAAAAGTCGGGATGAGGGTCAATGGTACGCTACATCAATTGAAATGTATTCTGTGAAACTCACTGGATATGCAGGCAAAAACTGGCATGCTCCCAAGAAGCCTTTCCGCCCTACAGCAGGCCAGACAGCATATGCCAAACGAAAAGAACTCGATATGCTCAAACAAGCCACCAAGGCCCGCGAACAAGAAATGAAAGAAGAAAAAGAAGCCGAGCGGAATCGACGGATACAGGCCATCAAGGACAGACGGAAAGCTAAAGAGGAGAAAGAACGGTATGAGAAGATGGCAGAGAAGATGCATCAGAAATTGGTCGAGAGGAGGAAGCGAAGAGAGAAAAGGAATAAGCTGCTGAAAAGTTGAGGGATTGTGCTGGACTGAAACCACAACTGGCAGCCCAGTCACGAATATCTATCCAAAGTTGACCGGACTGCTCGCCATATGTCTCCTCACAAGTCGCGGATGAGAGACCAAGCAAAATACCCCCGTCGTAGTCACGATGGGCTTTCTGGCTTGTTCAGGTCCAACAGCGCACCATTCTCCAGCCAGAAGCACTATCGCCGAGTGTTCGTGTCAGACGAGTCGGTGTGTCGAGGGAGTTGCAGACTCGAGACCCCTCGTTTGTGCCGAGCTGGAATGACGGCCGCGTGTGTTCGCAGCTGAGCATAAAGCTGCAGAGGTCGAAGCTTTGTGACGGGAAAGACAGATGCGGGAAGTCACCCTTCTCACAAGGCAACCGAACCGATATGGTTGTCATTCATGGTTCCACCACAACCGGCTGTAAAAGGACTATCGATCACAGAATTCCCGATTTTGAGCTTGAGAAGTGGGAAGCTCACCTCCAACGCTCGCAACTTGTCATCTACAAGACGGATGAGCTCTTGCCTGGCTCTATCGTGTGGCTCATCAAGAGTCCAAGCTATGCTGACATGAAAGGCATCCGACTTATCAGTCACTTTGCGTGTTGTCTTGCTCGCTTGCAGCGACTTCGGAGCTTTGCGGGTGTCGTAGGGTCCCTCATAGAGTTGAGGCAGGTTGAATTGCCGGGTAACCGCATTACATATTGACAGCAACCTGTTTAATTCATCGTTTTCAGGCTTCATGAGCTTCAGAACTAAGAAGAATCTTGTTTTGTCGTGATTCGGTACCCAGTCGAGTCCTGACACCTTGACCCTGAATGGCTGGATGCGCCCCTCCCTCAACCTTGATTCGAGACGGGCATGGAATTGTTTCTTTTGCTCCGTCCTTAAGACAAGGGGCGCGGATAGGCTGATGTGAAGTGGTAAGGGTGCACCCAAGTCAGAGTGAAGGAAGCTGTGTACATCGATTTTCGAGCCTTCATTCGTACCTCCTAATGCCAGACCTGCTTTCTGTACCACCGTATCGAGGCTCACAAGGTCGCACTTTGATGGGTACCACTCAAGGTAGACATGAGTGGGCCAGTTACCTACCGCATGGGGAACTTGACGCGTGCGACCAGCGTGCAAGGAAGGGTCATCGGTAGTCGAACTTCTTACGTTGGTTGCGTAAAGCGAGTGAAAAGAACTTGGTAAGGGCGGCGGAGGAGGTTTGCGCCCACTGGACTCCGGTCCTTCTGGTTCCATGCGCTCAGCTTTTCGTTTCCCACACCTTTGCTTTATAGGCTCTTTGGTTGTGCCTTGATCCTCACTTTCAGAGCTCGAATCTGGATAGTCAACAAGGACCATGGTCAAGGTTCAGCAATAGCCTGAGAAACGCGCATGGCTCAAGGGCCAATGTGCCTGCCAAGCCGTGTATCGAAGCTTGATGATAGGAGGAGATCTTGTAAATAGAGTTGGGAGGTTGGCCGGGGTTGAGCAGGTTCGGATCCTTGGGACCTGTGACGATCACAGGGGAGCGCTGAGCAAGCAGTGTTGAGGTTTGGTGGCTTGGAGGCAGGTGGAAATGACAACGTGGTGTGGTGACGAGGACAATGTCTCAGTTGTGCATATCGTCCACTAGTCGTTCCCGCAGGAGGAAAATCACAGGTGCAAATCAGAAATTCTGCACTCGTATGACCTTCGGGACCGGGATGCCGGGAAACAGGGAGTCTCAAGCACAAATATGTTGATTTCAGGATTGTAATATAGAGCAAATGCATAAAACCACTTCTCGACGAGGTACTCGATACAAGTGCCTTAATGCACCATGAAGAAGTTGCTGTTGAAGTTTATCCCCAGGCATCCCCTTGAGCCTTGATTTTAGTGGATGACGTCGAGACACAAGCCCAATGACAGGGTGGCTTTGGTGCCTAGTGTGTCCCAAGTGCGCACCCTGGAGTCCAGACCTGTTGGCTATCAGCCCCGCCGACCTTGCGAGGGACCCTCCCTCCAGGGTGCTCTCCACCATGACATCGGTAGCAGGGTTTGTTGCCCGCCTTGCTCCGTTCTACATCCTTTAAACCTCCAATTATACCTGACCTCGCTCGATGCGTGTAGGTGGGAAGAATTCCTCTTAAGCTTTTCACTTCGTGTAAGCTGAGATAGCCGTTTTCTGATTCCTTTATTATTTTCTATTCTTACCGCAGGACTATTTGACGAGACGTCTTTCAATCCCACGAATTTGCGCATGTGCGAGCTTGGACCATGGATACAGGCGACAAAAATTGGGTATGTGACATATCTAGGTTCGCAATGAATCAGTAGGCGCAAGACTGACACTTTTTCCGTCCAGGCTACCAAGTACCTGCTTGATCCATTGAACGCACCAGAACCGTCTCAGGAAGATGGTCCAGGGAACACTTTCCGACCCGGTGCGACTGTCGCTCCTGTCAAGGCTTCCCCTCAATCAAAGCAACTTATCGGAAGACGCCTCTCAAAGAACAACCCGTACCGCAAGAACTCCATTTCCAACAGCACCACAACTGAGATCAAGCGGTCTGCTTCCCTGAACAGTAATGGTTATTCTCCTATCTCGGGCAACAAAGGGCCATACCCTCCGCAATCGTATCCTTCACCACCGCCCTCCGCAACCTCTCCAGCCACTCCCAACCATTATACACAGTCTCCTCAATCTCCACGGTCACCACCAACACCTCAGTCTCCTAGTTATAGACAAGAAGCCTTTGGAGATGAAAGCCACTCGAGCCCTCATAAAGGTCGTCGCCGACGCGGGAGCTCCCTCTCTGAGCGCTACCCGGGGGACATGTCTCATCGGCCGCTCGATACCCTGACAAAGCAAAAGGCTGTGGCAGATCGGTCGCGCCACACAACCAGAAAACATCACATCCAGCCGGACATCATTGACAACCTTGACATGACTGGTGGTGGTGCCTATCACCACGGCGGACCGTACGACGCCACGTTGTTCGCCCGCAACAACTCGTTGAATAGTCCACTAGCGGCCGTAGCGGCTTCGAACGCGGAAGCTCTCAAGGCAACACCCAGGGAGAAGATCATGGACTCCGTCAGAGGCCACAGACCACTCGACGGAGTAGCGGCATATGCTCCAGGGAATATGGATCGCAATGGAAACGTCTACAACTATGAAGAGGGCGACAACATGATGATCGAAGGCAGTCCGGAAGGTGGCGCATATAAACGCTGGCCGGGTGTGCAATATGATCCCAGCGACGTCAAAGGCAAAGGCGAACCAAGTTATAGTTTAGAGAAGGCTCTGAAGGAGCACAAAATCTCCGACGAAGACCAGAAGGCCAGCGGCAACAACAGCATTGAAATGAAGAGTCGCAACAGGAGCTCGAGCGGCCCTGTTCCACCAACTGCAGATCGATCAGGCTGGGATGACGGCCAGGGGCTCGGAAGAAGTGGAAGCATCAGCAAGAGGCTGAGTGGAGGATTGAAGAAAAGGTTTGGAAGTATCAAAAGAAGTCACCACCGGGACGACTAATTTTGGCGGAATCTCTGTTGGGTAATCATCTGGCTTTGGGTAACGAGTTGCTTTTGGCGCCAAAGGTTTGGAACGAGTAGATGGGTCATCAAGTCGGATGACGGATCCGACCCAGGCAGCAAATTTCGTAGGACAGAAAAAACATTGTGCAATAAACAATAGTTTGTTGTTGGAGGGTTGCTGCACTTTATAAATCATATATTCACAATCTATATGCTATCTATCCGTGACATTTTCAGAACCATCTTTGGTTAATATATCGGAACCGTGATCCACAGGCGAAATTCATCCACAAATATAGGGGTCGGTGCCTAATTCACTGGCTACGCAACGCTCTACAAGCGTTCATGGCAAGCAACCCAGTGGCCGTTTTGCCTCTCAAGAACCGTCACAAGGTGTGAAGGTCCTTGGCGGGCATGAACCGTGACATGACTCTCCCTCTCGGAGTGCCAATGTTCCCAGAATCAGCATCGTTGAAGACAGTTCGTCGTTTAGAGGTGGGGTGATATCGATGCTGAAGCTTTTAGCCCTGGGGGCCTTTTGGACTTCGATCGCGTTCCCGTTCCCTTTTCCTTTCCGCTTCCATCGAACACAGTCTAATCAGTGACGTTGGGGGAGAGGACGTGCTTGCCTGCATCATCATGACCACCACCATTTCCACAGACGTCGTGCCAGTGGTGGGCAGGGTCCTTGGCACTAAGCGTTGCCAGTTCGCAGCACCTCCGGGAGCGCTGTTAGTCCCTTCTCATGCGGGTGAGGTTATGGTCATTGCCTTCCGGCACTTCCAAGGTCTTCCTTCGCATCACGTCTATCCCAGGATCCGGTCTCGAGGCTCCTCACGCGCTCCTCAATCCACTCGATCTTGGCATGATTTTCCTTCTTCGCGGCCTCTTGTAAATCAAACGTCTTCTTGAATTCCTCGAGCATGAACGGTTCCAGAGTGCTCTTCTTTCCCACCCTGTAGTCATACACCACGACATCTTCTAAGCACCGGGCCGCCGGACGCTGGCGTACCTCGGACATGATCAACACGTCCAGGATCAAGGAATCTGTAGACTCGTCCGGCCGGTACCGAAGCTTGTGGTACACAGAGACCCGGTCTGGCCATTTCATGGGGAATTTGAAGTCGACAGTTATGCTCTTTAGGATCAACCCGATGCCCTTGGAGGATATCAAATCTTCCCACCGTTGCTTGTGGGCAGGGTCAACGTGGCTACTGTAGTTGCGGACCCAGTTGCACCGTCCACTCTCCGCGTGGCGGACGTACATCGTGTTGTTCATGTGGCCCATGGCGTCCTGTTCGCCCCAGACAATCTTCTGCCTGTGTAAGCCCGCTCTTTTCTCCGAAGTCAGGTAGCCCTCGCTGCCTGCGAGGAGCTCTCGCCAGTCTCGGGCTAGGACCTGCAGGACCTGGCCGGCTTCCTCAACCAGCTTTGGGGGGAGACCGAAGGTGATGCATCGCCCAATGCGGGTTTTGATGTCTGAGAGCCAGCGAGGGGGGAGCGCACTCTTAGATTCCTCTGTTGCGGGCCGGGGTGCGGAGGAGTAGTACCTGGACGCAGATGAAGGAGAACTCGAGGGAAAAAGCGCACGAGAGGCGCGCGAGATCACACGCTGGACCGACATGTTAGCAGCACATCATCCAAGCGTGTGGTCCGGACATAAAAGTGCGAGGGGGAAAGCACAGCTTGTACTCGTTGACTCGGTACTTTGGAAGAAACCTATCACTCATCTTCCTATTCTGATTAGCTGCTTGCCCTTTAGTCGGCTCACCTGCCACTTCCTGAGCCATCCCGGAGTTCTCAGCAGTGCGATCAACCTCCTGGCTAGAGCGGACAAATGTTGATCCGATGCCACTGTGCTCCAGGGATTCCGCCAAGGTACATGTTCGAGAATTCAAAAACATTCCTGAAAATCCATTTTCAACAATGAATGTGGAAACCCCCGTCCCTGCCATATTACTGCCACACATCCCTCCTACCGGCTCCTTTACCTACCACTTCCGATATTAAAAACGCAACCTGCACGCTAGTTGAAGGAGCCTCCAGAGTTGCTAGGGTCGGAGTCCACTTTGTCGCTAAATATGGCCCACAAACAAGCCGCCGGATTCAGGAGGGACTAAATATGGTTTTCATTCGTCAGAACCTCACGACTCCTATACCGTTGTTATACGCTCTATATGTAGAAGATGGCATCGCATACTTGCTGATGCAGTACGTTGCTGGACAGTCACTTGAACGTCTGTGGCCAAGTCTTCAATCAAACGAGCGGTCAATGATCTTGAACAAGCTCAGAAAGATTATCAACGAAATGAGATCTCTAGCGCCACCTTCACCTCCATTCTATGGGAATGTGTGCCATGGGCCGCTCCCCTACTTTCTCTTTTGGACTCCAGAAACACAAAAGGCAATTAACGGTCCTTCATGACCGAGGAGGAGTTCTGCTTGGGCTTGGTAGAAAGAGTCCGCCAGATTTATACCGACAATAATCAACATATGGCTCGTGTTGAATGGCTCCAAAAACATCTTCCTATATCACTTACAGGCCACCAACCGACTCTCACACATGGTGAGCTTCAGAAGAAAAATATCATTATCACTCGAACACATCTACAAAATGGAGACGATGAAGACGGCTTCGAGCTGACAATACTTGATTGGGAGGATGCAGGTTGGTACCCTGATTACTTCGAATACTTTGCATGCTACACGAGCTTCCGCTGGGACAACGACTGGCCTCAAATTGTCGAGGTCTTCCTCGACCCATATCCTGTGGAGACGCTTGTACTGATGCCGGTATACCATGACATTTTTATGTAGCCATACTAGGTAAACATGAACATTTTGATCATATCACTCCATTCTCACAAAGCTATACTATATCCATATACTGACACCGTGCCCGACATTAAAAACCCAAATTGACCCTTGCGCACAGATGCCACAAAATAATCTATTCAAGAATCCGTGCTGTCTGCAGAGCTGGTATTGCACGTTCCACGGTCCACTCAGTGCATTTGACCAGTCAAGCACGTGGCTCTCCAGGCTGATAGAAGTCACCGTTTGGTTTGATTGGCTCTGTCTTCATAGTCTTTGGATTGAGCTTCTTCTGTTTGTGCGGAGCAGGTTGTTGGGCACAGATTGTGCCAATATCAGCATATTTGCTTGCTTTGACTTTGCCCAGAAGTTGTTTCGAATAGAAGGTCTGAGACAGTTCGGGTTGGAGACCTGACTTCTGTTGATAGGTCATGCCAGTTACCAAGTCACCAACAACGTGGTGGATAATTCCGCTCTTGTCATCTTTCGTCTCAACAAAGATTTGACGACTAAGTCAGTTCAGAGCCTTCCTACGATAAGTTAGTACTGACCACAGTGTGATATCTTGGCTGCGGCATGTCTGGATCTTGCACAGCTAACGATATTGAACTTTGTAGACTTTGAAGTATTTGTCTTGAGACATATTATGAGCTTCTTGTGAGCTTGTTTCTCAAAATAATACGTTGTAGTAAGGAATGCCGGTGTCAGTGATGAAATGCTTGGGACACCCTTCATAAGGGCCAGGAGTCTCCCACTCTTTTATACCTTCAAGGGCCGGAGCGCGCGCTATCATCACCATCGAGACCGCCGCGGACATTGCATAGACATCTCAAGTCTCATTCGTCCCTACTCATGGTAATCTTATGTAGAGCGCTGATTCGAGACCTATAATGTAGGACACCGTCGGCAGCAACGGCATCAATTGAAAGCAAGGTTGCCGTTGGTTTCTGCTGCATTGTGGTTTTGAAATCACATTAAATGATAGCGAATAGCAATCCTGCTGGTAGCGGGGACTAGTAAGCAGACAGGCCTGTGCCTCGGCACGAAACGGCTTTCTGGGGGCGGTTTAAATGACACATGTTTCATGTACCTCGTACTTGTTTTTGCATCTGACTCTAGCCCAGCAACAATTGGAGGCTTTAGCGAAACCAAGTTTAACTATAAGCAGAAAAAGGATAGAAGAGGATCTACCGCACTCACCCTGGGAAGCAGGACACCGATTTCGCACATTACTATACCTACCTCCTCGCCTCGTAGATGTTTAAGCCTGCCAAGCCATTCCCATGTCAGCCTGATTTGTTCTCACGTGATCATCGTCAATTTCCCATCACTCTTCACCACTCCTCTCCTGCGCCTCAGCCTTGTCAATGACTCTTCAAATTTACAACTTCTACCTTCGCAGAGAATTATTCCGCGAAGCAAATCAGAGCAGAACTCATCACAAAAAAGATCAGTTAACGCCCTAGCATTGACTCGGTTGCGATACCGAGTCTCTGCAAAGACACCAGGCGGGCACGACAAAGCGACACAGAATCACACAGGTAGAAGGGTCCGAAGACCTCTGCCCTCGCCTCTTGGTCGATGGTCAAAAATGTCTGGAGCACTGTAGATAACAGACATATATATGTCTACCCGCGCTGGAAATGATCCGGTAAAGGTGAAGGAAGAAATTTATAGCCGAATAATCTGACACTCAGTATTCAGACGCTCCTGCAGAGGACCGAACACAAAAAGATCGACGAAAAGAATACTCCACGACGGGCCACTACTTCGAGAAGCCCCTCGAGGAATACCCCTGACGCTGAAGCTCAAAAGGCCTTTAACTCCGCCGGAAAGGGGAATCTACACTCTGACCCTAAGAACAATGCTTCTCTGAACACCAAAACCATCGCTGGTCTGGCCGAAGGCATTGTTTCCAGAGACCCCAAGATAGTCGTTCCCCACTTCAAAGCGACGACTACATTCATCCGTGCCGAGTATATGCTGCCCAGCGATATCGAGCCTCCGTGCATTGTCTTTGTTATAGTGACGAGTTGCACAGACGCTACCACAGCCCAGAGAATGATGGTGGATTATCTGCGCTAATTCCAAGCTAGTGTGTTGAAGGTCACTAGAAATGCGCACCTTGGCCAAGTCGCGCTGCAAACAGACAGCAGTGTTTTTTGGGTGCGGGATGCGATGTGGATACAGGTCATTGCCGAACATGAACCCGCAGAAGGTAGGATATAAGATCGCCACGTACTGTCACGAAGTTACACTCTCCGCTAACTTTCCGCTCGCCGTAGACTTCTTGGAGGGCTATGAATATCCCACTTATCGAAGACTCGACAGTCTTGTCTCAGATTTCCTCAGGGATGCTACCACGAGCATGCTCCTAGCCTTTGCCACGAAGCTAGACACTCACCTGGAAGCACATGCCGTCTCGCCTTCGAAACACGAAATGCCGAAGACAGCAGTTGACAGGAGCAGTTTCAACGTCGATTGTGGCGATTCGTTCAGCGTCAAGTTATGCGACGCCTCTAATACTCACGAATCCAGATGGGCTGAAGTGCAGAATCCGCACCTAGTCCTACAGACAGCGAACAAGCACCCGGGCACCGTCAGAGAGTATAGCTTTTGCGCCATCAACCCGGGTAGCACGACCTTGACACTTGTCGTAGTAAGGGCAGATAATTTAGCCATCGGTACAGCAAGGGTGCAAGTCGAGATTGTTGAAAGGAGAGCCAGTGAGGCAAATGAAGATAGCGACGTAGAATCCTAGACAATAATAGACGAATTGCTCAGCATAGCCTAAGAAACCGCAAAGAGTATTTAGTTATTGCGTCTGCACGGAACAGCAGGTTGATCAACGTCCCTGAGGCGGACAAATTGGTCCCACGTGGCCCAACCACCGTTGAACCAGGGTTCATGATTCAGATCCTCGGGGGTGTGACAAATGTCAATGACCTTCCAGAAATTCTCTCTCTGGATGAGGGCGATGCAGTGGCATGCGAAGGCCTGTCGTGATTGATATGAGCTTAACCCCCGTTCGCTGCGGCCCTGCATTTGGGAACGGATTGTTCCATAACCCGGGCCATCCATAGGAGTCTACCAATGCGAATATAACCCCATGGTGTCCCAGCCTGCATCTTGTCATTCACAAGCTCCTTATGACGAATCAGTCAATCTGAAAAACAACTGTAGACTGGCCTCATTTGCCTTCTTCCAACAACGGTATAGTGCTACTTACTTCAGGTGTTGTCCGGTGGCCCAGTGATTGGAATGCAGCACACCGACCAATGCTGGTATGTAGAATGAAATTGTGCCCGCCCACCCGATTTCGGCGATTTCGCCGTCCGCCAATGACAATGAGCAAGGCGCCGAATCCTTACTCGATCCCCGATTTAGAGTATATATTACCTCGTACATTTATCATGGTCACTCTAGAAGAGGCTTGAGACATACGAGAGACCACTGGGCTTGGTACCGATGTGATTACGATCGTGATGTCCTCTCAAGAACGCAGAAGTAAGGTACGGAAGCGAAGCAAAAGGAAAGATTCCAATCCAATTCCTCTCTCTGGTGTGTATGTATATTTCAACAAAACCACCCTCCGTCGACAGAAACACAGGCCCCCGTCACGAAACTCGCCTTGTCACTCAATAGATAGACGATCGTGTCGGCAATCTCGACCGGCTGTGCCATCCTCCCAAGGGCGGTAGTGGAAAAGTCCTCTGCCGACGCCGAACCTTCGGATATTGCCATGGATTGCTTCATCAGCGGGGTGTTTGTGAAGCCCCTGGCGCAAAAACAATCACAATCACAATCAGCGAGATGTTACTTTCTCTTTTGCACCTTTCACGTGTAAACGGAAAAAAAAAATAAAGGATGATTGGGGAGATATAGAAGGGACAAACTCACGGCGCGACACAGTTGACACGGACTCCCCTCTTCCCCACCTCCTTGGCCACACACCTCGTCATGCCCAATACCGCATGTTTACTCGCCGTGTATGCGGTCGTGTACTCCCTTCCCTGGAGACTCAGGCCACTCCCCGCGTTGACGACGGCGCCTCCTTCTCCCTGTCCCCCTTTCGCGTCTTTCCCAATGACCTTGAGCTGCGCCCGCAGGCAGTTCATCATGCCGTGCACATTGACGTCGAAGACGAAGCGCCACTGCTCGTCATCGACGTCTTCAATGGCCCCGATGTTGTGGTCCTTGGGAATCGTGCCCGCGAGGTTTGCCGCCCCGTCCAGCTTTCCGAATCTTTCCACCGTCTCGGCGATCCACGAGTCGACGTCGTCGCGAGACCGTACGTCGACCTTTTTCAGAAGAATGTGTTTGTTCTCGGCCGTTTTTCCCGCTGGGGAGTCGCCACCGGCTAGGTCTGCGAGAAGGTCACTGGGAATATTAATGTCACCGATAGAGACTTTGGCGCCGTACTTCAGGAGGAGTTTTGACGTCGCCAGACCTATTCCACTTGCGCCGCCGGAGATGGCGTAGACCCGGTCTCTGAAGAATGACTCCATAGCCATTTTGGGGCTCAACAGATACTAATAGGGATTTCCTAGAGAAATGCAGGGAATGTGAATCTAAAGAGAAGAATAGGACTGTGTGTGTGTGAGAGAGAGAGAGAGAGAGAGAGAGAGAGACAACCTCCTCTCAATACACAGTTAGATAGCACTATGAATTTGGCAATAGTACAATCGGGCCGGCACAACAGCACTGCTGGGTGTCCGGAACTTATCAAAGCCAGATCTTCCAGAGAGCTGATGATCAGTAGGGTCTGGGTTTTCGACAGAAGCTCTTGCAGAAAGCCTATCCTGCTTACCCTCGTCAGGGTAACATGCATGGGTATTGGTGAGGTGAGGAGAATGTTACAATACATGTTCTGCACGGGCTTCGGTATAGCTCAGTCCGATGAGGATCGTCACTAGGTGGATGGGTGTATTCTTGTTACAGCCAGCGGTCCGAATACGAAATATCGACATTGCGCCTGTGAACAAAGTATGAATTTTGACGCTACGCCCTGAAGTCACTCCAAAGCATTCAACACTTGGCTCGAAAAGCGGCTTCATGCCGCCAGATAACAAAGCTCATGATCGTCGCCCGTGAATAACATACTGAGAACCATCATCGTCACCACTAGCAATGGGGTATTGTGATGGCATCGTTGACAATGTCGTTCCAACCTGTCGACACCGGACAAATTTGGTTACGGCCAAAGTGGTCGATCGTTTGGCCCAGGAATCTCCTGCCAATATCGCCATCTTCATTGAGGGCGTGCACCAGTGAAGCTCTTCCTCCTTTCATGTTCCTTTGTGATATCCGCAACAAGCTTGTCTGTCTTTTCTTTATCCTTCATCTCCCTGACTTTGGCTAGAACGACTTCTCGGAAAATTGCACTCTTTGCAGCATTGCTCAGAGGTCTCCTCTCTCCTGTTTCATTTGTGGCAAGACCTCGTCCAGGAGAAACTCCCCGGACGTGGTTCTTCACCGCTAAGCCGGCAGCATTTTGTGCGTTTGCAGGTATGTCGTTTGAGTCAGGCGAACCGGGGTCTTCTTCGTCCTGCATCTTGAGGGCGTCGATTCGGTTGGCCAGTTTGACGAGCTCGATACCGCGCTTCAACTTCATCTTCGCCAGGTATGATCGGATCTCTGGCAAGAGATCGTGATCCGAAGCCGTCTCACCAGTCAGCCAGATATGTTTGAGTGCTTCTTTACTTGTCGCCCGTCGCTTGGGTTCCGGTTGCAATAGTGTCAAGATGAATTCTTTGGCATCCTTGCTGACATCCTTCCAGTACCGCTCGTGGAAGATAATCCGACCGCTCTTGCATTCGTCCACGAGGTCTGCAAGATTCTCAGAGCGGAAAGGAGAATAGCCGCAGAGCAAAGTGTAAGTAATGACTCCCATAGACCACATGTCCACAGCCTTGCCATGACCTTGTTTGAGCATAACTTCGGGGGCGGCGTAGCCAAAAGATCCAGCCATCGAGGTGAGGACAGCACCTGGACCCTCTAGTGTTTTCGCGATACCAAAGTCGGCAAGGACAAGTTGGGAATCAGGATCTCTGGTGAGATAGAGAAGGTTTTCTGGCTTCAGATCTGTAGCAGTCGATCAGGAAGCGTTGCAGGCAAAAGGGTTTTGTTCCTACCTCGATGGACAATGTTTCGCTCATGGAGATAATCGACCGCCTCGAGGACCTGCTTAATGGTCTGCGAGGCGTCTTTCTCCGTAAATTTGCCCTTGTCACAGATGCGATCGAATAGCTCTCCACCAGTGGCCAGTTGGGTCACGATGTAGAACTTGTCCTGTCTCTTGTCAGTCTCCTGCCACATTGATTGCACAGAAGTGCAAGTCTTACCCTCGACTCAAACCAGTCGACGAATTTAACAATGTGTGGATGACTCAGGGTTTGCAGCATCTGCAACTCGTCGTATACCATCTGCTCATTGCCTTTGACACTCTTTTTGAGAATAATCTTCACAGCAACCTTTTCTCCACCGACCTCCGCCTCTCGAACGATGCCATAGGTTCCTGCTCCCAGCGTCTTTCCGAAGCGGTATTTGGCTTTCTTATCGTAGCTGTCAGGCTGGCCTTGCAGCTTGTTCATCATACCAGAGACTGTTCATTGCACATCAGCCTCGACTCTCCGACAATTGAACGCATTGAGAGAACTCAGCGTTTCGGCCGAGTCCCAAAGTCCAGAGACAAAGCCAGGAGGCCTGTCACACACAATCGTCCACCATTTGTTGGAAACCAAAGATATTGAGGTGTGGTTGAGGGGGGATGCAGGGACTCACATGCGCTCATGTTTGCAACAGTTCAGGCCACGCCTGCAACGACAGTCTTGACACTCCTCCAAGGTTTGAGCGACAGAGAGACGAGGTAGGATCTTGCTATGAGCACCAGAGGAAGGACGGTATTGTATTCCCCCAGGTCTTCTCCTGCCTCGTAACGCGGTTGCAGCCACACGTAAAGGTCTTTTGAGAGACTGCGGGGTAGGCCTGGCGCGGGTGATAGTGATTAGAGGTTGGTCTAGCACAGTGCCACACGAGAGGTAGGACAAGAGTGCAGAGACGGTCAGGGCAGAAGAGAAAAATGCCTGCAGACACTTGATCCGAGTTAGCAGGAAAATAAATTGTGACAAAGAGTGGAAGTTGCAGGTTCGCTGGCAGAAGGTCACCCTCTTGCCTGCAACCCATTGGGGGCCATTTCGTGGCGGAGCACGAGAGGGAGCAGCTGCAAGAGGGGGCCACGAGAGCCCAGAAAGGGGAGGATTCAAGCTCCCAGCTGAGGTTCACTAGGTGCAGCTGTGGCGGCTGTGGCAGGGTTCAGGCTTAGACTATTCACCAATCCGGCAGCCAGAAGTCGCTGGGCTGAAAAGTCCATCTTCGGTCTATACGAGCTCCTCCATGTAGCCACTTGGAAATATGTAGCGATTCTGGTATGATAGACAACACCCCCCCAGACTGCGGAATTGTGTCATAAATGGATGGTCATGCGCCTAGCACAGTATACTTAACCCGCACAGAAGGCCCAAACCCCGTTGCAAGGCTTAACCACACTCTTCAGGACAGGACTTCCAGCCTTGGGTCTCACCATCAACCCCTTAGCCGCACCAGTTCTCGATCCAAAATCCTACCTCCCGCCTGCCAAAATCCTTCCATTGATCCACCTCGCCCAGCACTTTTGATCCAGCAGCGATAAAGATCTCGAGAGCCAGGGTAAGAGGAAGGGCTTCTTTCTCGCCTATTCAACTGCCCATGTCATAAGAGCACATTCAAATCATTTGCTGTCACTTATGACTTCGATCTATCCAGTACATTCACAACGCAAAAGGGTCAGGTCCGCCACGTAACCTTAAGATTTCTAGCGTGATAGACCTGGTTCCATTCAGGAAATAAGGTAGTCTAGATCACGTGGATTGAATACCCAATCATCCTTGGACACTACAATTCTTTCTACATTTCTTTCTACATACATTAGGACCGCCCTGACTGGAAGTGTATATTAGGTCATCAGGCAGACATAGGTAGGTAGGTAGGTAGCGTGAGTGAGTGAGTTGAGTGAATGGACTCTCCCCGAAAAAAATGTGTTTTGTATATCTGTACATCCCCCAAACACCGGTTTTCCTTTGCTCTTTCCAAGCCTGCAATGCAACGCAATCATCACCAAAAAATATTTTTCTTTTATAAATCGTCCCATATGAACACAGGCAGGCAGGCATCACTTGTTCTCCCTCCCAGTTTGGCGTGTTAGGAGGACCATAGATGGTGTTCGGGAATGGGGTTGTGCTGCCCACACTCTCTCGCACGTCATCTTAGCATGTGATGCATCGCAGGATATCTCCTCGTTTCCCGTTGCCCGTTATCCGTCGTCTCGTCATGATATGGGCAAGGTTGTTGGAACAAAATAGCCGATGCAACCCTCTGGCCCCAGGATATAAACATTCGAATTCTTTACAGCTTTGGCCTTGACTGCGTTTTCTTGACGTAGGCCATCACGGCATCAACACCCGCCTGCGCGACTTCGGTGTCCTGCGCCGGCGTGCCCGTGCTGCACCCAATCGCACCCACGACCTCGCCGTCCACGACAATCGGGATCCCACCTGCCACATACATGAACCTGCCGTTGTTGCTGTTGTTGAGCCCAAACGCCGGACCGCCGGGCCACACGTTCTCCTTGTAGACGGAGGTCGGGGCGCGGTGGCCTGCGGCGGTGAAGGCCTTGTTCATGGCGATATCGACCGAGGTGAGTTTGGCGCCGGGCATGCGCTCAAAGTGGAGGAGGTAGAGCGAGGCGTCCACGATGGCGATGTTCATCGGCATGCCGATGGCTTGGGCCTTTTCGAAGCAGGCGGCCGAGGCGAGCTTGGCCGCATGGTGCGTGAGATGCGCAGGTCGGTGGATGGCTGCCATGGTTTTTCTTGTTGTTTGTGGAGGTGGTGAGAGGATGGAGTCGGTAAGCAGGCAAGGAAGGACCTACGTCTCAGCTATACGGAGGAATGGATCTCACAAGCACAGCAAAAGGCTGCTCAATGGCTAGCTCACAAGGCAAACAGTCTCAGAGCTTTCAGCCAGAAGTGAAAGAGAAATAGCTCAATCCAACGTGTGAATCCAACGAACAAGCTTCAAACCACGACAATATCAATGGTGGATGGGGTGAATTGAGGTAGCTCGCTACTCATACATGTTACTTGGTAGTACATAATATTGGCGGAGAAAACGGAGGAGGGGAGACGGCAACGTCAGCGAACGGATTGCTCGCCGCAGTCACCCGCAATTTGGTAGTGAGAGCTCGGGACACTTGCTTCCTAGGCAGTTTGTCGATGTGCAGCTAGGCAGCCTTGTCTGGACCATTGTTATCAGTTACGTCACTGTCAAAGCCCTTTTGCGGGGGAGCACCATCTCCAAATACTACATTGGTTACTCGGGAGGCATTCCTCATCTCAGGAGAATTCAATGATAGAGTAGCTAATACAAATCAGAGTCTGCATGAACAAGTGGTCGCCCACCTCAGGCTCTCAGACCTTTTGCTCAACGAGGCTCATGCAGCGGGTGGGATCTCTGGTACAGCAACTCGAAGCACCGCTCCGTTTCCTTGTCCAGCCACTCAATGCCCTTCCGAGGTACTGCTCCCTGGTCTTTATAGTTGGGCCCTATCTCAAACGTCTCTCCGGACGTCGCGTCCGACCCAAGCAGCTTCTCGAAAACCCCAATAACTCCTTCGATGGGCGTCAACAATCCCTCCTTGTCCAGCTTCTCGTAAAAAGCTCCGGCAGAGATATTGGTACGAACTACATTTGGGCATGCTGCGTTCATCGTGATCTTCTCTTCTGGCAAGTATTTGCCGTAGCTCCTGACCAACCCGACGACACCATGTTTGGCTGAAGTATACACAGGAAGCGTGGGACAGCAGTATAGCCCGCAGACGCTGGCGACACACCCAACTGACAAATGATTAGCCGCCAAACCCCTGCAAAATGGTCAGAACACTTACTCTTGCCCCTGAACCCGTTCTTTCCTGGTTGCTGCTTCCTGAATTGTTGCACAGCCAGCGCCACAGTGTACAGAACACCCGTCAAGTCGATATCGAGGGTGGTCAGATCAGGCTGCACGAAGCCAGTCATGGAAGGGTCGTTGGGAATCCACGCGCGTTCGCCGATGCCTGCAATGGGGTAGACGTAATCGATCCGGCCAAAGTCTGCCACAGCCTGACTGAAGGCTTTCACCTGCGAATTCCAGCTGGCCGCGTCGACCTGAGCACATTTTGCCATCTGAGAACCCTTGTTTAGCTCATCCACAACTTTTTGGGCTCCGTCGAGGTCTCTATCCACGATGAAAACTTTGATACTAAGTGACTGTCAGATAATGGCACATGGTAGGCGGTTGTAGACAAAGAACGGATGTACATACTTGTTCTTCACCAGCATTTCCGCCACCCCTCGGCCAATGCCACTGGCTCCGCCCGTCACTATGTTTTACACATGGGTGTCAGCCTTTCTCGGAAATATGCAATGAGATACAACCTGGTTCTTACCGAATGCAAATTCAGTCATCTTTGTGGTGAGATGAGAGTGGCCGTAGTATAATGATGACTAGGTGAATGTGGATGATCCCCGTATTGATCGAAACATTTCCAGTTCACGTCTCTTTATGCTCGGCGCTTGGGTAGCCACCCTCTCCATCAAGCAGCATCGCCAACAAGCAACCTCGGAACCACTAACCCCAGTGAGGGGGTGAGCCATTTGTCCAGCTTTGATTATTGTCTTGAATCGGGTCCCGCCAAAGCATGATGCCACAAGGGGTCTGCTCTGTCCAACTGGCGAGCTGGGTTGCAGGCGGGGCGGGGTGCATCGTGTACATCGGAGTTCATGTGCGGAGAAGTTCTGTTCATGGACGCAGACGCGGACCTCGGTGTGGCTGGAACTGTACAGAGGCTGTTGATGGCCTGGGCAGGAAATAGGATTCAACTTGAGGCTGTCATTGTACGGCACTTTCGAAGTCGAGGTCGCTTTGACTTTGCGGAATGGTCTTGTAAAGTGCCCAACCCATGTCTGACACACTCCTGCCAGGCGAGTTCTGTGGTCATGAGCGCGGGTAGCCTCCTGGTTCGACTCGACGGGATCCAGGTATATGTGTCTTCAGCAAGCAGTTTTGGACCTGGATAAGCCACTGACAGTTCTGCTTCAGGAAGAGTAGCAAGTGTAAGCTCAAGTTCTGAAGATGTTGGCTGTGTTCTGTGAGGAGAAGCTGCGAACTATTATCTAACTAACTAACGGATCGCGCCTTCCGTGACAGAGAGACGTTACCTATGGAGGCGTGGAAGATGGCTCTACGTTACCAGGGGTTAAGATTCCCCGTACAACGGTCAGTACTCCATTTACGGTGAAACATACCACACTCATGCGCTGCTGACCTCCATGCCTCTTTGGCTCTTTGCCATCCGCTTTGGTCTTTGCTTCTGCTCGACGATTTCATAATCTTTCCCTTATTTCGCCCATGGGGCTCTAGCGGAACCCAGCTTGCGAGTTCTCACACCTTGAAATACTATCGAAATTTTCGCCCACACTGCCTGAAATCTCGTAAGGTCATCTGGTCAATGTCAAGG